GAAAAAGAGACCCGTTACAAAAAAAAAAAAAAAAAAAAAAAAAAAAAAGATAAAGGATATTACCTTTTAAATCACTTAATTTTAATTTTTCAATTTTGCAAATATAAAATATAACTGCTTGACATTACACTTTTAATGATAGATTAAAAACATCCTGTTACTCATAACTTATTCAGTGGCAGTGTATGTCTTTATGCAATTTTAAAGAAGCAAAATGCAGGGCTGGAGAGATGGCTCAGTGGTTAAGAACACTGACTCTTCTTGCAGAAGACCCAGGTGCAAATCCCAGCACCCATATAGCAACTAACAAGTGTCCGTAACTTCAGTTCTAGAGGATCCAACAGCCTCTTCTGTCCTCCTTGGGCATTGCATGACATGGGTTTCTCTGCAGTCTTTTCTTTGACAGTTAACTTCTTGATCAATTACAAATAGTTCAGTGGAATGGGAGTTAATAGCAAATATCCTAAGACCATTGGAAAATTGTTGTATGAAAACGTATCTAAATTTTCTTTTCTTCTTTTGAGATAGAGTTGCATGAACCCAGGCTGGCCTTGTACTAGTTATGTAGCTGAGGCTAGTCTCAAACTCTGTGTTCCTATTGCTTCTATCTTCTAAGTGCTGGGATTATAGGCATGCATCACTACAGCCAGTTTATTTGGTGCTGCAGATTCAGGAGGGCTTTGAACATGTTAAGCAAGCACTTTACCAACTGACACACATCACAGCCCAGTAATGGTAAAATTTCCTACCCATCAATTTAAATATTAATCATTATGGTAACATTTTATAATAAAGGGTACCAATCATTCAAAAGTTCATTGCCATTAATAATAGACCTGTAGCCAGGTGTGGTGGCACACACCTTTAATCCCAGCACCAGAGAGGCAGAGACAGCTGGGTCTCTGTGAGATTAAGATTAGCTTGGACTCCATAGCAAGTTCTAGGACGCTGTGGCTACAGGGAAACCCTGTCTTTAAAGAAACAAACAAAAAAAAAAAAAAAAAAGAAGGAGAAATAATAATACACTTGTAATGAGGCAGGTGAGTGGAACTTGCCTGTAATACCAGCACTTGGTAGGCTGAGATGGGAGAACTGTAAGTTCCAGGCCAACCTGAACTATATAGTGAAACCCTGAATCAAAAAAGATAATAGAGAGCTGGGCGTGGTGGCGCACACCTATAATCCCAGCACTTGGGAGGCAGAGGCAGGCGGATCTCTGTGAGTTC